TGAGCTAATGGGTGCCTCCCAAGTGATTCTAACATCCTACTGAGTTTGAGACCCGGCACCTAGAATAACATCTAACTACAAGTAAGAATAGCCTAAGCCTGTATTCCCAGCACTGGGAAGGCTGAGAGGAAGGAGGACCACCTGGAGTTCAAGGCCAGCCTGGACTGCACAGAGAGATCCTGCCTCAAAAAGCAAACAAAAATGAAGGTAACTCTCTGTACTTCATGGAGGGTCAGCCTATGTAGTCACATGCAGCCTCGTGCCCTGCGCTGGACTTCATGAGGCTGGGCCTGGCCCTGGTCGCCCGCGCAGCCTCCCCCTCCTCTAGAATTCTGCGCAGGCCCAACGTCTCCCCATCATCTTCAAGGCACCCCCACTCCTGCGCTCTTGACCCAGACGGTGTGAGCCAGGGGTGTACGCAGTGCTACAGGGGTGTGAGGTCAGCACAGGGTGCTGGTGAGTGTGGGGCAGAGAGAGGAAGCGGCCATGGGATGGAAGGGGCTTGGAGGGCATCAGAAATCGGGCCGTGATCTGTGTCAGGCCATAGTCGCAATATGAAGCTCTGGTCGTGTTCTGGGCCTCCGTTTACCCACCTGCCATCTAAGATGGTCTGACGAAGGAACCCTTCTTTTTCAGGGTGGGCCAGGGCCATGGACATGAACATGGATGTGGATGGCCCAGCTCACGCCTTGGCTAACGGTGGCCCTTTTTCCAGAACTCTCCAGGAATTGAATACCTGCCTGGGCATGGGTGTCACGAAGGCCACTGTGGGTACCAGAAAACAGTGATCGGAATAAGCAGCATTTGCATGGAGCCTCCCAGCATGGCAGATCCCCTTAGACCTGAAGCAATATTATTCACAAAAGCAGATTCAGGGGCCGGTGAGAGAGCTCAGAGGTCTAAAGCGCCTGCTTAGGCAAGCTTAGGAAGGCGCAGGGGACTGCGGTTCGATCCCGACAGCCTTGCCAGCCAGAGCAGTGTAGCAAGAACCTGTCTCAAAATGTTATTTTATCTTTGATTTTCTGAGACAGGATCTCCCGATGTAATCCAGGCTGACCTTGAGCCCCTGGTAAAGCCCAGGCTGACCTCAGAAGCTTACTAATCCTCCTGGTGTGACTTCCCAGGGGCTGCTGGGATGACAAGAACGAGCCACCACGCCCAGCTTCCTGTCTCAACATTTTACCAAAAATGTAAATGGGGGGTGGGGGGGCAGTGGGGGGTGGGGGGTGTAGCTCAGTGATACAGTGCCTGGAGAGGATGCACTAAACCCTGAGTTCAACCCCAGCACCACTAGTAGTAGTAGAACAACAGTAACAACAGCCGGAGACCATGAGGGGTCAAAGGTGGGAGGTGACTAGCCCAAACACATATGACACACGCCTTCTAGCTCCTGAGCCAAACCCAGAGAACACGAGGGCAGCCCTCTCTGGTTCTCAGGCATGGAGAAGAGCTCCGAGGGCCACCCTGTGTAGCCAAGCCTCCACCACAAAGAGCAGAAAGTCAGCAGCAAGACTCTGCGCCCCAGAACTCTGCTCCTAGGGACACGCGCGACCCATCGCAGGAGCAAACGAAAATTGCACCACAGCGCCCCCTGGCAGCAAGTGGGTCAGCGCTGCGCGGCGCCAGATAGGTCCTCTGCAGAGGGGTTTTCCCGGGCAGAGGCGCAGGTGGCCGCAGGCAATGCGTGGAGACGCTTCCCCACCCCAGATTGAGCTCCCCCTGCTGCCTGCCACACGGAGACCTGCAGACCGGCCAGGCTCGCGAGGTAGGGAGGTCTCAGATGGTGGAAGACGGCAAGGACAAGGTTTTGAGGGGGAGCCCAAGGCAGGAGTGGAACTGGGGCCTGGGCTTCCAGCATAGCCGCCACTAGGGCCCAGGCTTTGCTCTTTCTTGGCACCACCCGGCCCCGCCAAGGCTCAGGTATCCAACACCTGGGGCCCAGAGTCACATGCAAGGAAACCCAAAACCCTTGGGCCCTGGGCCCCAGCTGCCAGCTGACACCAGCAAACAGGGCTTTGGGGAGGAAGCTCTCCAGAGCCGAGCTGCAGGGCAGAGAGCAGCAGCCCACAGGACTCTGCCACCAAAAGGGGTGAGTGGCCCGGCCAGCCTGGGTAGCGCGAGAAAGGACCACAGCAGGCACAGGCTGAAAGGGGTTTGATGGGCCCGGGAGGTGGGGTCAGAAGTGCCCCGTTCCCACACCTAGCCCAGTGGAATGCTCTGAATCCCATGTTCATCTGTCTGCCCCTCTTATCTCCTTCACACTAGTGCCAACCAGACCCTACCTGGCCTGCATGGGAGCCACCCAGGCAGGTAAGTGGGAAAGACTTTATTCCTAGGAAAATCAGTCCACGGCAGAGGCAGAAGCTTAGGAGCCTTCAGCCCCAGTCCAGTTGGTCGAAGGGATCCCCTAGATCAGCCTTCCAAGATCCGTAGAGTCCAAGTCTCCAGCCCTGGAGACTACCCAAAGAGTCTTGCATGAGACAGACCCTCAGGAAGCAGGAAGAAAGTCACCCCGGCTCAGAAACTCCACAGAGGGAGCCAGGAGGAGAGCGCTGGCAGCAGGGTGGACCTTGCTCTTTCCCAAGCCATCTTCTCCTCCCCAGGTCCCATGCCACTCCAAAACTATGCCTGTCTGCAGCCATGCTCCTCCCAGCTGCTCACCTACCGGTCCTCCTGCTGCTCATAGGCATGAGGGACACCGTGCCCAGTGCCCAGGCTCCTCCCCAAGGCTGCTACGTGGCCGAGGAAGCTGGTGAGCGAACATTCCGCTGTAGCCGGGCAGGCCTGAGCGCTGTGCCCCCTGGAATCCCCAATGACACCCGCAAGCTCTACCTGGATGCCAACCAGCTGGCCTCAGTGCCTGCTGGTGCCTTCCAGCACCTGTCCACCCTGGAGGAGCTGGATCTGTCTCACAACGCCCTCGCCCACCTCTCTGGGGCTGCCTTTCAGGGCCTGGCGGGCACACTGCGCCACCTCGACCTCTCAGCCAACCAGCTAGCCTCTGTGCCCGTGGAGGCCTTCATGGGGCTGCAGATTCAAGTGAACCTGTCTGCCAACCCATGGCACTGTGACTGTGCCCTCCAGGAAGTACTCCGGCAGGTGAGGTTGGCGCCGGGCACAGGGACGGGCATCGTGTGTGGCTCCGGAGCCCGACCAGACCTTGTGGGGCAGGAATTCCTGCTACTGGCCAGGGAGGAAGAGCTGTGTGGCACGGGGCATGGCGGGGCCCAGCGAAGTACTGACGTGGCCCTGCTGGTCACCATGGGGGGCTGGCTCACGCTGGTGGTGGCGTATCTGGCCCACTACGTGTGGCAGAACCGCGATGAGAGCAGGCGTCCTCTCAAGCAGGTGCCTGTGCTGCCTGTGCGCTCAGAGGACTCGTCCACCCTCAGCACGGTGGTCTGACAGTCGGGGAGCCCCAGGATCCTAGCGCTGCACCTCTCCTCTCCTTCTTCTCCTTCGGCTCCTCCTCTGGCTGCCTTAAATATCCTCTCTCTGACAGACAGACAGACAGACAGACAGACACACACACACACACACACACACACACACACAATCTTTGGCATTTGGGAAGCCTCCTCTGTGACCGATTGTACTAGGCTCAGAGAACCCAAAGCTTCTGAGTCCATGGCTGGGGAGGAACCTGTGCAGAGAGAGAGGGATCAAGCTGGAGGTGAGGTCAGAAAGCTGGGGTGCAGCTAGGTGGAGAAGGGCATGAAGATCCCTTCTGCTCCTCCACCTCTCCTGGACCCTCCGCTCGCTTCCCAAAGACCCCTCTCCTGTGCCCTTTATTGAAAGCCCTGGCTCAGAGTCCCCCTTCCCCATCTCTCTGGCATTTCCTGTGTACATGGAGGGGGTTCCTGAGCCCCTTCCCTTCCAGGAACAGTGGCCTCTTCTAAGAGGGAACTGAGGATGGGGACAGAGGAGCTGGGACCCCAGCACATCACCAGGCACCTCAATAAAGTCCCTTTTGTGAACGTGCTGATCTCGTGCTGATCTCCCTCTTCGTTTGCATGGACACTTGTGGCCTGGCAGTGGGGAAGCAGGAACCGCAGGGGCGTGGTGCATTTCTGCCACCTCCCTAAGCGGGGTGCTGCCCCATATACACGCAGCTTCCTCTCTCCCTGCCCCTGCACCAGACCCTAATGGCTCTGGAAGCCAGAGCCTCTGAATTATTGATGATGAAACCAGAAGGCCTGAAAGAGGCCCAGTGGGGAACAAGGAGAGAGGGCGGGCCTAGGACCCAGGAGGGAGCCTGGGGTTTGGGAGTGTTATGGGGGAGCCCATGGGAGCTCAAATTGGAACCCAAGATATGAACCATTGAACCAGGGCTCCGCCCAGCCATTCCTTGTCCCAGAGGTGTGCAGCTGAGCCGTTCAGCTGTCTGATCCTGACACAGCCTGATTCTCAGTGGGAGGTGGGAGCGGAAAGCAGCCAGGAATGAGCGCTTTGCTTGTCACCCAGCTCAAGAGGTCCTGGGGCCAAGGATTAATGCTCCACCAGTTCCCCCGGCATCCTCCAGAGCTGAGTGAAGGAAGATGGGGGGCACAGGGTAAACAGGGTACGTGCCTCAGGGACTCACCTTCCCTGTGGCAACCCAGTGGGGACCCCAGTCAAAACTCAGTAGGAGGAAGATGCCAGAAACTGGATACCAGCTTCAGGCTCGGCCCGTCGCAGGAGCCACGAGCAGCAGTCCTTCAGCTGCTGGGACCTTCAGCACCTGGCTACTGCTTATCTATCCATGGGGCAGGCAGGATGGTGCTGGGGATCACAGGGTCTGGCTCTGAGATGTCATTCATCCTGTCGAGGCCCCTGAACACTACCTGGACACTGCCTGCAGCTGCCCTCTAGCCTGGGACAGATGAAGAAGAGTGTGTCCTTTGGGGGCCCAGAGCCACCATGTTCCAGACATTAAAGAAATAGGGCCATCCTACAAAGCCTCACCCTCTACAAAAGGAATGGACAGAGGAGCTCACCCTGGAGTTGCGGGTTTAGGGCCAAAACCACACTGGGTGTCAGGAAGGCCCAGCAAGCCCGGGACCCAAAGCCACGTGGGAATGGGGCAAGGAAGCAGTGGAGAGAGCAGGATGGGCAGGGGTGCAGCTGAAATGGAAGACCACCCGACCCAGAGATGGGTCCTCCTCACCAGCCTGCCCCAGAGGGAGGTGCTGAGCCTGCTTCCGGCAAGCCTGGGCTTGGGAGACAGGACTCCCTTTCCTGCCCGTCCTTCCTCCCGCCCCTCCCCTGGGGGGTCAACAATACCGTCATCCTGCCTCTGGGAGCCCCATGGCCTGTCCCCCTTGACAGCCATCCCTGGGGAGGATGAGGTCCCCAGCGGAACGTGAGGAAGACAGAACAGCCCAGGGACGCTCGAGTGAGGAAGGGTGGAGTCTTCCCTTCCTGTTTGGGGCCCCCACACCAAAACCAGCTGGTGACTCCCCCTCCCCAGCTGGGACCCGCCCAGCCGCGCTCCCAGACCCCTCCGTGTGGCCACCTGGGGCCCCTCCCCGCAGTCTTCCCAGGTGGATCCCGCCCACGTGAACAAGAAGCTGAAAATGTTCCCTCGGAAGTTGTGGGAGGCGAGGCGGCTCTTTCCCCTTCCCTGTCCTGAGATGAGGCTGGGAAGAGGGGCAAATGCCTCAGAAAGGACCCCTTCCCCCCATGGAAAGGAGCCGGGCTAGGTCAGGAAGTGAAGCCCAGGGCCCCTTTGCAAGGCTGCAGGGTGACAGTGGGTGGAACATGGGGTCGGGCCGAGGCGGGGACGCATCCCAGCACGGCCCTGGAAGTCTGTGGGCGCCCGCTCGCCTGCTGCCCTCGCTGAGCGGCAAGGAAGGCTGAGCCCACAGGTGCTCCCCGCAGCCGGATCCCAGGGCCTGGAGAGGACTGAACCCTGCCCGGCCTGGGCTGCCTCCGGAGGGGTGTCAGTGTATCAAGGCCGGTGCCCCGAAGTGGGGACCCTCTGCGTGAAGTCATAACGGGCGAGGGTGGGCAGAGTCCTGGTCACCATGGTCCTGTACCCAAAGCTCAGACTAGGCCCGAGGCGGTCCCCCGCGAGCAGGCTCCGGGCCCTGCAGACTGAGGCAGGTGACAAGCTATGGCGCCGCAGCGTGGGACTTGGGAGAGAAGAAGCCCGGG